TAAGAGTACAACGTTCTCATTAACATTGAGACAATAAGGCTTCACTTAGTCTGTAGTTTGAGAAATGTTTTATATTTTTCAGGTACTTTGATTACTACCATTACAAAGATCATGCATTGGAAAGGTTTATGAAAATTGTGGAAACAGTTTTTGGATTCAATTCCAGAGAACATGGAAAATATATAAATTTTGTTCTGTTTTCAAATTTTAATTTCTTGCTGTATAAATTATTATATTTCTATTTCTTTAATTAAACGAATCTGATTTAATAAAGTAACTTAAAATAATATATATAATATTTGTGGATATATTTTAAAATATACAGAAATAGTTCTAGCTAAATGGGTGGAAGAGAAAGTGAGTTAATCTAAATTATTAAACTTTCTTAATTTAGTTTAAATTTTTTCAAAGAACTGTGTACGATAAATCATCAGGTTATTAGTTAGTTAAAAAATTCTGCAACCAAACATACTTTTCATACGCTCCTGTTTCCTTACATTTATCCTGATAACCCTTTTTTCTATCATAAACCAGACATTTTCCAATGGCCCATCCAAAATTCGGGGAAATATTGAACCTACTGTGTTGAATAATTGCTTCACATTTTATACTTTTCAGTGCAGATGCTGATGTTCGTTTGGCGAGAAGGATAAGGCGTGACACTGCGGAGAAGGCTAGAGACATTGCTACAGTGCTTGATCAGGTTAGTAGTTTGTGCCATCAAACATTCACAGAAGGTTAATAGTACATGCTGTGTTATTTTTTTATTTGTAATTGGAGTGCTTCTTTCAGGAATAATGGTTCTCTCAATTTTTACTCACTAGATTTTCCTACATATGCTAATAACAAACGCGGAAGTTAATCTACGATCCCAATGGGCCAATTACATTTTTTTTCCACCCGTTTGACTTTCACTGTATGTGACATCAGAATGAATGTTTTTTAAATTTTCAGTTGTTTCCAAGTTATACTTTTTCTTTTAATAATTTGTTATTTTTATTTTTATGTTAATGTTTCTTCTGTTCTGTTGATGCAGTATTCAAAATTTGTAAAGCCTGCTTTTGATGACTTCATACTTCCTACAAAGAAGTATGCTGATATAATCATCCCCAGAGGGGGTGATAATCATGTTGCCATTGACTTGATCGTACAACATATTCGCACAAAGCTTGGTCAGCATGATCTTTGTAAAATATACCCTAATTTATACGTCATCCAGTCAACATTTCAGGTATGTGACCCGTCTATTGTGTGTTTTGCTATTAGCTTAAAGAATGCTAAATGTAATTTATTTTTATTATTATTATTTTGCATTTTGTATTTTTCTTTTGTTGGGGATTAATACTGCTGCTTTTTATTGTTTCCTCCAGATACGAGGCATGCATACATTAGTTCGAGATGCTAAAACTACAAAGCATGATTTTGTGTTTTATGCTGACCGATTGATTCGTCTGGTAACTTCTGTGCCTATAGAAACTTTTATTCTATCAGTGGTCAACTTTGCTTATAGAAATTATCCTATAAGTCTCTGTTTGGTTTTTATTCCCTGTCATAAGCATGACTTCCTAACCCATGATTTAGGTTGTTGAACATGGTCTGGGACATTTACCATTTACAGAAAAGCAGGTGACCACTCCAACTGGTAAGCCAGTTATCTGTTTATCAATGTATTTATGTCATTAAGGCTTCTGGTATTAAATGTCCATTTATTAATCTGTTTTAAGGATGGGAATCTATGCAATTAGTTACGGTCCTTTATTTTCACATAATTTTGAACTGTATGGCTTTTTTTTTTTTTTTTTTTTTCC